ATCGTCAGTTCTACATTAGCAGCTTGGACCAGCTGCGTCGGAAAAGTTAGGAGTTTGGTGGTGCTCGGGTTAAAAGAGAATAACACTTTACAAATTTTGCACAGAGAAAACAGAATGAAACAAGATAAAATCATAAATTACATTTTGTATTCTAATTAGTTAGGACAGAATCGCTTCAGAATCGCTTCAGAATCGCTTCAGAATGTCAGAGGATTAATCTCGGCATAAGGTAAAAGATATTTTTCCACGAAAAGAATGATTCTACTAAAGCATTTAAGAAGATTACGGATAATCAGATACAGATCTGAGAATAATTTTGTTGGACTCATCATAATAATCATGTAAAATCATAAGTACGATAATAATATTGCAAAAAATGTTGATGATATTCCAGCAACCAATTTAACCAGCTTACGTGATTATTTTATAGAATTATTTGATAAATAGAATTATTTTCAAATCATATTTTTAGCTCCAGCAAAACGTTCTTTACCACGTATTTATGACTATTTAACCAGCATTACAGCACATTTATTGATTCATACGCTGTTCTGAATTATTAAATAAAAGATATTGAAATCACCACTTCACCACATTTCCTAATTCTGAGATAGTAACAAGTAAAAATGAGAATTTATCCTCGTGTTATTTCCGAAATGGGTCCCGTGAAAAATTGATGTTCTTTAAGCAACAACGAACTGCGATAATTTGCAATAAAAGATAAAACCTTTTTTTTTTTTTTTTTTGTGTGCTGTACCAACTTATCACCCATATGTGATATAACGCGTCAAGATTGCTCTTATCGGGAAACGAAGTTTGTGCAAGCGCTTTGTTCGCGATTCCGCTATTTGCTAAAGGGACTTGCGCGTGATTTCGCAGCGGTTTTCCTTTTCTCCGGCGAAACGGCGCCGGCGGTGGAAACGAGAAGACTAAAATTTTGCGCGCAATTTCGCAATTTGCCGGGGAAACGAGGAAGAAGGATTAATTCACGTGGGGCACGTTCCGCGCTAACGGTAACGTTAGGAAAAAAGCGTTCTGCCCGGAGGAGGTTCTTTTTTGCGGCTCCCTGGAAATAACGACGGATGCGTGTTGTTGTTGTTGTTGTTGTCGTAAACGTGTTTTATGGGCGGTCGCCCGGATGCGGCGCGGCTTCTCTCGAGAGAGAGATCGGCGGAAAAACCAGCGCTCCAGAATCAGAGATGGGAGATATGTAACGGTATGTACGAACTCGCAATCCGCGGATTCGCCTGTGGAAATTTCGCCTCGTTTCTACGACGATCCCATTCAATTCGCCTGACGAAGTCGGAGAAATCGTCAGAGTATAAGTTCGTTTAGTAATATTAGGTCTCGCGAATTGTTCTGAGTTTTAAGCAAGAGCACGCCGTCATCAGATAAAGCGGTACGTCGATAGAACATTGTGTCATATTCAGGAAAGAGATGACGGAGAGGAGAATTTAGACATGCATGGAATCTGTAAATTTTCCTAAAGGGATTTTGTATGATATAAACCATAATTGTTTTAACTTTTAAACTTTTATTCGTTTTTATACAACTCTTATTCTGTTGATAATTTTATTTAATGTCACTTTTAAATTTTCTTGAGTGGGATCTGATGATACAAATATAACTGCTTGACTTGCTTGAACTATTTAATTTATAATTGTTACTTTGCGTTTTTTGGTAATCCTATTTAATATCATTTCTATAATTAAAGTTAAATTAATTTTTTGCATTGAATAATAGAGTATAATATATTATTATTTTAACATATATTTTAATATGGAATTAAATATGATATTAAGTGATAAATATATGTATATTTTAAATATGATTCTGAATGACACACACACACACACACACACACACACACACACACACACACACACACACACACACACACACACACACACTAAAATTTGACCAAATACAGATCTGAAAATAATTTTGTTGGCCCATCAAAATTATTTTGTAGAACACTTAAATATGAAGATAATACTGCAAAAATGTTGAATCTTCTAACAATCTTCTAACAATTTAAACATCGTATATGATAATTTTGAAGGCCAACAAAATCGTTTTCAGATCCGTATCTAGCTAAATTTTTAGATTTACCAACTAAAGTGTTCTTTCCGTGTATTATAAAAATATTAAATGTAGGATACACATTTAATTGAAAACGATATGTTATGTATAAATGTTATTTATTTATGTTATATTATATTCTACGTTTAATATTGATAAACCAAAATAATTTGCTATTTAACAGCTATTTAACAAATGAACAAGAGTGTTGAATATAAATTATAATAATTTTAAAAGTAACTTATAATTATATCATTATTTAAATTGTCAGAGAACGATTTATTTAATTAAAAATTAATTTTAGAGTAATTTTAAAAAGAAAAAACGTAATTTTCCATTCATTATTTTTTTTTTTTTTTTTTTTTAAAATACACAATATTGTTAAACGAATACATATTTAGTGAGATTAAAATGGAGTTAAGTTGAATGGCTTTCCGATAAAGCAATGTATTAATGTTAATTGTAGAATAGTATACGCAATCGAGATACTTCAACGCGATTCAAGAGTGATGACGATTTTTGACTTCCCCCCCCGTAGAAACCGCGACCCTATCGATCTGTAATGAAGCACCCCTACGCAGGCCAGTCGCTTATTCCTCCCCTTGACCGCAGGGAGAATCGTCAAGATCGATACCGAGGTCTTGCAATGATCCGTCCGATTTTGTGTCGACCGCTATTTCGAGATATATCGATGCTTGTTGTCCTATCATGCAAATCCGGATTACATCATGTATGTTCACGGCATTATTCCGAACTTATCGACAACATCACTCGAGACTGCAGGATTTATGTAGCGTTACAATGGAAGATTATTTGATAAAATACGCAGCATTTATTTCTCTTTTGCATTTACACTGCCCCTTTTATAGTTATTTCAATATTTGTACAAAAAGTCGATCATAGAGAATATTTTAAATAATAAAACTAAAAAAAATCTTTAGTTTATGAAATCTTTATCAAATATCACGGAGACGACGTAGATCATTATTTACCTATAGAATATTTCCCATTCTAATTTTGGTGTTTGTATCATTATAAGAAAATTTAATTTGCTAAATTTGATTAACCTTGATTTAAAATAAATCTTTAATTTACGTTAACTTTAAAACGATCCGTAACGTAACGAAAATTCAAATTTTATCGGAAAATTTATGTTGGAAAATTAATTTAATGTGAAAAATTCAGTCAAACGAAGATTTTAACAAATTATATTTTCTGAGTTTCGATGAAACCAATTCGCCAATTTCTTATTTTGTCGATCAATTGCTAAATCTCCGGAACTTTAATTTTGCTCACAGCCACGTCAGCGGTGATTGTGAAAACAGAGAACGAGCACCATCATCTAGCGAGCCTGTCCGGGGACAATATCCTTGGGACGGGGGTGAGAATAGGACGCGGCGAGGACGCAGTCGCGAGTGGTAGCATCAACCCCGTTATGGATTCGGCGCAATCGGCCATGATGAAGCAAGCCGACTACGTCGTAGGTCAGTGAACTGAATTCGCGATTTTTTTCTCCTGTAAATACGACGGCAATTTCATTCGATTCGTATACAGTAAAACAGTAATCCGATCTTAATCAATAGGATAATCGCGGATCTATACTTGTGCGTTATGTAAAGCGACGCGAGGGGGTGTGCTTGGTGAATTTGTGAATATGCAAAAGAGTTTAGAGTTTGTTGCACGTAAACTGGAGGCTCTTCTCTAATAAGTAAATTTTTAATGATATAATTGCGAGGAAATTCTTTGAGGTTGATTTTATAAAAATAAAATAAAATACTTTTTTATGTAAAAATAATTCACGTGTTGGAAACAGTGATATTAAAATTCACGGATTTTTATATTTGACATGAGAAATAAAAATTTTTTTAGAATTAAGAATAATAATGAAAGATAATTTTAAACAAATCTCTTCATATTTTTCCTAGCATAATAATTTTGTACAATAACAATTGATTTTTATTTCTACAAAATTATATTGATAAAATATAATTTGATTATTTGAATTCGACAAATTGACGAATTTCACGAAAAAATTTTGAAAAAGTGTTGGAAAATGAGTTTTTTTATCTCTTTATATACGAATAAGATTTTGGAGATTTTTATTGAATCAATATAAGATCAAAAAATTCAAAATTAAAATTTTTAATTCTATCTACACTCGATTTTTAGCCAATCATATTTCACATACAATAATCTAAATTAATAATCTAAATTATTGATAATATCAGAAACATTATCCTAGGGAGATAATTAAGATTGATAAGTGATAATAAGAATAAAATAAAATTAGATGAAAAAAATCATTTAATCATGAGTGAGTGATAAACAAAACAATTTCTCATACAAAGCGCATTAGTTTGACAAGTTTTGAAATAAAGCTCTTAATTTAGTGCAATTAGCTTTGAGAAGTCTAGTGACCTGGCCTCGCTAATAACACGATAAGAGATGTTCTTTCAAACATGATTACGAAGGCACGTAGCTCGTAATCGGTGTTTTTGCATGATTGTGACGTAGAAATTGCCTAGCTATAATAAGATTGATATCGGAGTACAATTGCACTTACTTCAATGATATTTATTGCAGAAAATGTTTGTTAAACTCTTTCAAAACAAAAAAATTGGAATACAGTGGAAATGATTATTGTAGCTTAGAATGAACTTCTAAAAAAATAAAAACTGTTAATATTGATGCAAATATTAGCATATTAATAATTCTTTTTATTGAATCTTTTCAAATGATAATTTTATTCTTATTTTACGCATATATAAATATTACGAAGTAAAATTATACATTTCAATTAATATGATTACACTACTTTATTTTATAATATATTAATAACTGTTATAGTTTTACCGTTTGAATATATTGAATGATGAGTTTTATATTAGTTGATAAAGAATTTTTATTTCCTGTATTGTTTTTGCTTTTGATTTATAGTGATTTATCTTCATTTCAACTCATTTTCAATATTTCCAATATTTTAATATATTTACTAATTGGGATAATATAGAAATTTAGGATAAAAAAATATTTTTTTTAAATAAATAGCTACATTATATAATTATTTCTACTATTTTTTCTTTAATTGAATTTTAAAAGTAAACTTTAATTGCAGATAACGTCAATACATACATCTAATCTTTTTTTTTGTTTTGAAATTTTTTAATAAATTCTTAGTATAACGAATAAATTATTATCCAAGAATTCATGACTAATTTTTTTAATTAATTGTGTATAAAAATTACATCTATATAGCATTCTTGATTGAAGATAATAAGATAATTTTTACCATTGTTATGAAAATTGTACTTACGTAAACGTTGCATGACATACAATCATTTTTGTAATGTTTGTCCTATCTTTTTTTGCATCATATAATAGTTCAATCTTTTTATCGTTTTATATCAGTAATTTATTAATAAATTGCTTTTAAATTTTACTAATGTACTTAATTGACATTGTAATTGACATTCTAGAATCGCTTGAGAAATAGATGTAAGGTCGCTAATGTAATCTATTGAATATATATTGTAGTACATTTACATTAAATGTAAAACACGCTCTAGCAGATGTTTTAACGTGTACAAAATGTATAACGCAAAATTGAATGATTTTTCTTTCCTCATTTTGGAATGATGACGTCTGATTCAGTCTAGAAATATGTTGAATGCTAAATATGCTAAACTATTATTATCTGCAACGAGTATTGATTTACGGCCGAGTCATATCGTTGAATATTGACATATCGTTTAATTTATGAAACGAGTTACGTTGGTAACGGCGACGTGACAAAAATATCGAATTATAAACGAACAGGCAGGAAGCACTTTATGAAAGAAACTTACTTCGGTCAGTTACTCGCCGTAGCGTCCAAAGTTCAGTATGCCAGAGTTGATGACGCTCAGCGAGAGATGACGTGGATACAAGGCGGATGAGACAAGTCTTCCGCACGATTAATGCTGTTGTCAATATGAATTTTCCATATTCTCCCAATATATGTCTTTATCCCACTTCCCCGTTGCTAATAAATTAGTAGGATTATTTATAGTATAAAATATATTTATAGATATTAAAGATTTAAAACGTCATTCCGATGTAATGCGTATGTGCAATTTGTGTGTGTGTGTGTGTGTGTGTGTGTGTGTGTGTGTGTGGTGGTGTGTGGGGGGTGTAAAAATTACGCATACGTATTACATTGAAGTGATACGTTTTGAAATAATATCTATAAATATACCTTATATTAAAAATAATTCTGAAAAATTTGCCATTTAATTGCAACGATGATGAAAGTATTATTTTAACAATGAAAAAAGATTCTGTCGTAATATAATACGATACTTGAATTAATTTTTAATATTAAACATAACAGAATTATGACAGAATCTCTTTTCCTTGTTAAAATAATAATATTTTTATCATTGTCGTAATTAAATGGCCAATCTGTCGGATATCAATATGAATATGTCACTTGTTATTAAACAAAAGTATCAAATATGTCATTTGTTGTTAATTAAATATTATTTTCTAATTAAAAATCTATCTGGCTTGTTATACCGAAATGTCTTTAGACATAAATATTATCTGTATGACTGATTCATTTTATGCGTTATGAAAATATACATCACATACACGAATATTCATTTTTCACTTTTAATTTATTCGATAATGATTATCGCACAATCAATAATTTTATTAGTTAAAATACTGACAGCAGTTCGCGATGTGAGAGGTTCTGAACGCGCGCGATCAAAGTGTATCGCTAAATCGAATCAACAAGATGACACAGCACGTTAGTCAATCGATATTAATCAAATCTGAATTATATTACAGACATTGTGCTGCCAACAGTCCTAATAGCTTTGCTATTCATCGGCAATGCGATCATCGTTTATATCATCTTCCAGTTTAGAAAGAGGTGAGTGAACTTCTTCGTTGTATTTCGCTGATACAAATATTTTTTGCTAAATAAAATAAATAATAGACCATAATATCACAAAATCAGTGATAACGTGGATGCTTTGACACGAACGAAACTCGCGACTTTTATAGAAAAAAAATACTTGCTTAGTAATATAATTAATAATAGTTTATATATAATTAATTTGATGAAAGCGTAACTGACAAAGATGCAGTATTTTTTGAATTTCTCACTATATATATATATATATATATATATATATATATATATATACTAATATTTAGTGAATTTTTTTAGGAAAATACATATACATAATTTTATAAACGTATCACAGACCTAATTAATTTTTTGTACTTTCCAACATAGATACAATTCGACACAGGTTTAGTTATGTCATCTATTGTCCTTATTATTTATGAAATATTAAATAAGAACAAATGATAACAAACTTAATTAGACTTATAGGAAAGCATCTTTTATCGGTTAAGTGACTTTTAGAATTTCTAATATAATATAAAACTAATTTAAAACTAAATCATATTATTTTGTTTTTCTTGTCCATTTTCTGCAAATTATAATTTTTGAAATAATGTTATATATGAAATGAAGCATTTTCAAATAGTAATTAATACTTTTAATTAAAAATAATTAAGAGATATGAAAGATGATTATTTTTAAGTTTTGCAATTGACAATTCTTAAATTTAATCAAATGATAAGTTAAGATTGAAGACGATGAGATTCTTAATTAATTAGGAGGATAAAAAATTTTTGGAGACTTGAAAACTACGCTATTCTATAATCGATCAACGCGTAAAAAAAAAATATATTGAATAGCAAATAAATGATAATCGCTCGTAGATTATAACGTTTCATCATGATCCGATATTTCAGAATATCGATTATACGTCCGCCAATTCTAATGCGGAGTTTTTGTTGTCGAAATTTATTCGAAGATTTTCATTTTTTTACGGGCTTTAGTTTAGACGGGCTAGGAAAAAAGTTTCATGATCGCTGCCTAGAATTCGATGACACGTCGAGCGGGGGCACGTGCCACCTGCTCGCCTACCTGCTCGCCTGTAACTCGAATGACAAAGTCAGCGCGCCCGCCAGACGACGGAAGGCACACTGGAAAAAAAAATAAACACAACGCGCACCACGCGCCAGGCAGAGCTCGCTTATGTGACACGACCAAGTGTAATAATGTAAACATTTGGCGCGCCGCGAGAGATCAACGTACGTCCAAATATCCGTCCTGCGATATGTACATACGTATTTATGTGAACGTATGCACACTTGGATATTATTTCCCTCTTGTTTCGAGTTAAGCTTTTCGAACAACGAGCGAGCCTGCCACCGCACATTCTCGCGCGGGCATATGTGTCGCGTTAATTCGCATTAATTCGCGAGGCATTTTGAGGAGGCTTAACGGAATTGTCTAGTTAGCAACTAAATAGCAAACTCGACAATCGTTGCGATCTGACTGATATGTGAAATTACCGGATGCAAATCACCGGCTGCACTCGAGAGATTGCGTTCTACGTGAATAGAATGGATTTTGACGTTAAAATTAAATACTTTTAGAATAGAAATTCCTGTGTAAATTTGTAAAGCAAGTTAAAACTTATTAAAATGCAAACATAATGCAAATTTACTATTTTTTTTATTTTTTTTATTTTTTTGTATAATTTATTATAACAAATGTCCGCATTTAAATCTTGTAATAAAATTCTTTCAAGATACTCGATTTTTTTAGGAAGATCAAAACGTCAGATAAAATTACAGTGTTGTTAGATATAACTTTGAAATAAATTTATGTTGTCGCGCGCATTTTTTAATCATTTTTAAAGAGCAATTAATATTTGGATACTAACGCTCTGGATTAATCATTTTGATGGAAGTATAAGATTTCTTTTTTAATTTACAAGTTATATATAAATATATACTGCTAATTTCGCCGATTGATGGGTTGTTTTATATTATAAAAGCAAAATTGTCAATTTTTTTTTCTAAGAAAAAATTTCTTGTAAATTTCTTGTAATTTTTCTAATTTTAAATTTAAAGGCAAAGTTCCAATAAAATTCCATAAACTTCCCTTATTATCAAGAATGAAATTTTTTGAGAACTCCAACTTTTTCCAGGAAATATCCTAATATCCTATTTATATATGACTTCTGGATATTATAAATAATTTATATATGTATATAAGAAAAAGGAAAAAGACATAAAATAAAATGCGAAAAGTATATAAAAATAATAATGCTAAATTAATAATAACGATGCGATAATACGAAATTTTTATTATGGAATTTTATTATATAATTGCGTCAAAATCTTGAAGAAACTGCACGATAGAGAGATCTGAAGATTTCATTAAAATTATTAGAAAAAGATTTTAGTTCTTTCCTCTTAATATTTACAATATTATTAAATGTTTGTAGCAATACATGATTTCGGAAAAAGAAAATTTTAATTAAATGATATACATATAGTGGCATGGAAGACACATAAATGCATAAATGAATCTTTTCTTTGCATTTCAGAAAACTTTCGGCCACGACACATGTTGAAGAGATGGCCCTTCGAGGTCCCACCGATGTGCCCAATGTGTGATGTCAGGGGCCCAGGCTGATTGCGCATATGACCACTGGTATTGACGAGAAGTCACCAACGTCTATGTGGATGCCTGAAGCCATCACGAAGATGCCACAGAATCGATCTCTGAAGGATTCCAAAGTTCTCACGATGATCCTGCGCAATTAGCTAGAAAGATACGCCGGAAGAAGCAAAGAAGACACATCTTTTCGCAGCATTCGATGGCGAAGGTGCATCTCACCGTGCATACAGCACAGAATGTGGCTGCAGCGATTCCGAAAAATCTTCCTCTTGTATTATCGTCCACATCATTCACTCGGGGAAATTCGGAATCGGACGATGCTACGCTTAACACTAAGAATGCGTGGAGAGTATAACGGAAACTTTGCATTTCTTTTTTTCTTCGTATATTTATAGCGCTAAGCGATTGATTGCCATATTGCATTAACAGCAAATTCTTGAGCGTTTGCTGTATTTGCTTATTTCGAAAAGTGATATTTAAAAATCGCTGCGCATAACGTAAAATACATTGCTGAAAAAAGGCCCAGTGTTCCCACTGAAAACGTTTTAAATATAAATGGACTATAAGGGTTTCGATATCATGCAACTCGTGAGCCTATTATGTCATGACTTTACATACGCATATTTACTCTGTATTATAATGTAAGGAAATAATATATTCTATACTTCGTCTAAGATTGTAGATAAGTAAAATAAATCAACGTTTTTGTAATAACATTGTCAAAACTTTCATTCCAAACCTATCTTTCTTACCTATTTATCTTATTTACTTAACTCTCAATAATTTAAAAAATTTTTTAAAACACTACGAATCTTTAAAACACTAAAAGAAAAATTTGTTTTAATCAAATTATTTATCTATTTATTTTTTTTATTTTTATATTCATTTTTTGTGTTTTTAATATTTTCTATTAAATCATTTCATTATCTTTTATACATTATAATAACGTTACAAATAATTAATAATTTAAATAAAAGTTAAAATGTATTTTTAAAAAATTCTTATACATCCTTTATTATAAAATAAATGTTTTCATTACAAAATGTAATTATATATTTATATTTTCACTATATATTCGTATTTTCACTATATATTCGTATTTTCACTATATATTCGTATTTTCAGTGTTAACACTTAAAAATATTTTTGTAAAGGCTCTCCTAAAATTTCTTCTAAAGTACGAACAGCATTCTGCGCACATTTTTCCGTTGTTTCGTCTTCGTCTTCTAACATCTCTGCCAAAAACGGTACAGTTTCCGGCAGTAATGGCATAAAATCTTCGCCAAGTTTTCTTGCGATTTCCACCTAGATCGCAACAGCAAATAATTGTCAAAAATATAAATAAAAATAATTTTGAAAAAGATTGAAATAAAGAAAAAAAAAATAACACGCACAAGTTTGATCCGTTCATAAATTATAATCAAACACAAGTACGTATAAGTTACACAACTAGTTTTTAATATAAAATTAATTCTTCATTTAATTCTACTTGAGATATTAAACACAATAATCGCTCATTATGCGCAGAAAATATTTCACTAAATATTAAAGCAGTGAAAAAAAAACTTCTCTGCACAGTATTTTATGATATCTAAATTAAACTGACTAAACTGATCATCATATCCGATCTTACCAGTGCATTCAAAGCGGTGCTCCTGACATAAGGCTTTGCGTGCCTTGTCTTTAGCAATGTTTGATAGACTAGTTGTTTATGTAATGAATCATCGGGAATCGCGCTGGCAAAAGAAGCTATACAAGGTACGATGAGCCGGCTAGCCCGATTCTCGTACTCTTCCCTTGTGCCCATTGTGTTTTCCACCTGGTCCACTATCGGCTGCATGAGAATCTCAAATCGGTCCTGACTGACGAAGTTGTGTGCATCGTATCCGAACACTCGGTGAAGCGTCAGCAGAATCGCTTCCACTAGCTCGATTCTGCTCAATTCATCGGGAAGCGTCAATTCCTGTGTAGTATCTGTTACGAATGTATTGTTACTGCTTAGCAACGATGCCGCGTGCTTTAAAAAGAGCCCAGCGAATAGGACAAACAAAGACTTCAAGCACTCTGCTATATTTGCCGATAATCTAAAAAGAGAAATTAAATATCATATCTTTTCAAGAATCGATGTTGAACAAAAGTTATTTTTTATTAATTTGTTATGTTTTAACGAATTAAAATAATTTCTCACACTTGTATTGTATCGAGGAACATAGACATATTTTTAAATTTATTTTTATTATAACTGATCTCCAAAATAAAGATTCAATTATTAAAAATTAAAAGTCGTTTTCAATTGTTATTATTGTTTTAATTATTGTTATTATTGTAATTATTACTAATAGTTAAATGTTTAATTGTCACAAAGTGAGAAAATTGGAAGTGAGAATTAAAATTATCTTGAAATAAGTAGAGAACTATAATTTAATGGATTAATTTTATCATTATCATCATCTTTTTACCTGTAGAAAGTTATATTTCGGTGTTTATGTTGCGTATCATTCGCTGCCCATCCGTAGAGCTTACCGTACAATGGTCTAAATGTAACTTCACTCAACTTCAAGACTAGTGACACGAATGCCTTACTGGCGCTCTCCTCAACCGCGACGATGTCTTTCAAGGTAATTTCCATGTTGTCATCCGTCCCTATATCATTTTCGAGGCTCTCGCGAAATTGAAGAACTTTGAGGAAGAAATCAGCGAGATTATCAATCTCCACTTTCAAATCTGCTGGCTGCACGCTGTCAAAGGACTCGGCCAGTACACTCATCAGTGATGGTATACACTTGTAAGATTTGTCATTTAACAGAATTTCATAAGTCCTGTTGATAGCCGGCAATAACACGCGTAGAGGTATGCAACTAGATAATTTTCGTGTCGTCGCCTTCAAACGTGAAACTACGACACCAATCTGCAAAAAACAAGTAAGCAGAACGATTAAGCACAAGAAAAAAACTCAATTAGCATTTTTTTCAAAAAGATATTATTAACTATTAAAAATCACGAATACCTTGGAATGTTCCGTGTCGGTGTATAGAGAATTTAGCATTGTTAATTCGGACAAGAGTTGATCTAAGTAGAGCGATAAGAAGTTTCCTAAAGACTCCACTATTTTCTGCAAAGCGCTCACTATACTAATGACTATCACATCCGGCACGTTTTGATGACAATGGGTCTTTAGTAATTTCAAAATTGCTGGTACGAATTTACTCAGCGAGTGCAAAGCATGCGTTCGCATAGAACTGCACAGTTCCGCGACGCACAATGCTGCACTGGCTAATACTGGACCATCCTTCGACCGCAAAAATTCCGTTGTCATATCCAGGATCTGTAAATCATAAATATATCATAAGTATGTTGTAAACATAATTTTAACGAATGGTAATTAATTGTTCGTTCAATTCAAATAAATTGTTCTCCTAAAAAAGATTTAATACATGACTCGAGACTTTTAGAAATAAGAAATATCAAATAAAAATTTATGTTAAAAATAAATAAATATATTATACATACCGGTTTAAAAATGGCAGGATGATTACCAGCCAATAACTTCGCCAGCAGCTTCAAAGATATTAACACTGTCTGTTGTAGAATTTGTTGTTCCTGGTTCTCTGGAACTTTCACTTCAACATCGAGGAAATCGATCAAAGATTTGATCAAACTCAAAAGATTGACGTGATCCTCCTCGCTAAATTTTTTCTGAAGTAATCTTGTATTTAGCAATTCCAAAGCCTTCCTCCTCACCGATAACAGTTCATGTTTTAGTAAATTCTTGATGCTCTGCAGGAACAGAGCGTTCGGCAGCAGACTGTTCACCAAATCCAGAACGTCATACAAATTATGCAGTAACACCTTCCAGTACTTGGCGCTTGGCTTGCTCTGATGCTGATCGGCGATCTTCGAAGTACTCTGAATTAAAAGGATCAATTCGACTGCTAGATCATTGTAGTACTGATTCATCTCACTCGCCTCATCCTGACTTAACACGGCCACGCGATTGATAAAGTCCTGAGACGATAAAAGATTGCTAAGAAACAAGATAGCCGTTATCTTGTAGAGTCGAAAGCTCTTCGGCGTGGACTTGGTTAAGTCATAAATATGCTTGTATTGGAACTTCATCGCCATTTTTCTACCTTGCTCTTCTTCAATATCGATCGGCAAGATCTTGATAAATTTGACCACTTCCACGCAAATCTGAAATGAAAATCAGAAAAGTTCAGTTTATTTCTGGATATATAAAATAATTCCCTTAAAAAAAATTATAAAATACTACAGAAATTTTATAGAAAATTGTCACTTTGAATGAATCATTAAGTTGAAATGATTTTCGATGACTTACCTGAAGCAATCGTTGCAGTGGAATTTCCTGAGACACCTGAAGAGCAAAATCCAATCGTTGCGAGGGATGCTCGGACTTCATTACATGGCTTTCGAAAGTCAACAGATAATACAAATATAAATAATTGTCGAGGAGTTGTAACAATTTTACGAAGAGTGGCATCCGCCTGTGCTCGGGAATATGTGGTAACGAAACGATAAAAATTCTTAGCAATTCGCAAGCGTGCGTCTCATCGTCGGTCGCATTCACGATCGGTACCATCGTCTCCAGAGTCTTGATAATGATCTGAATAGAATAGGCATCGTCCTGTCGCACCACCGTGTTGCCCATGAATGTGAAAATGGGCATGATGTTGAAGAGAGCACGGCGCATATCCACGCTCCTCAGTAACTCGACCAGCACTAACAGCGCGTGATGATGCGTCTGCGGATTACGCGACGTTCTGATGCATTTGGTGATAAGAGCGATTTGCAGATCGGCATCACGCACCGGTAATTTTTTCATCATTAGCCGATGGATCGTCGACAAGATCAATTGATTCGTGTATTCAACCGGACTCTGTTCCTCCAAGCTCAGACAGATGTTCAGTAAATCGAACAGTACACCGTAAAGCAGCTCTTCACGTTGGATGTCGGCATGTTGCGCGAATTCCAGCAAGGCGACACCGCGCTTCCATGACCGACTGTGAACCATCGCTGGATGGGATAATTGGATCTGACTTTGCCGCTTCTTTCGCTTCGTCACACTCGTCGCTGTCGTTTCCAAGTCCGCCGCTTCCTTCTTGCCGCTAAGCTTCATCGCCTCCAACTCTGACGTCACGATCGCTGCATCGATGCGGATCCGACGGATCACCTTGCCTACGGCGGAAATCACATTACTAATCTCGCAATCAGTTGCCACGTCCAACACTTTGGACAGGATCCTTGCCTGGAGGTCGCCAGCATTCTCGAAGAATGTGGAATTAATCTGTCTCAGCAAAACAATACTCGGCGACGTTTCCTCGCCGGATTCCGTAACCGCGCAGGACTCGTATTCCAGAATGCTCGTCTCAAAGAGCAACCACACTTGCTCGTCGTTCAGAGCATCAATTGTGTTTCCGTTGAAACGCTGTAGTATATTTCGTAAGGCACTACCAGCCGATCGATTTTTTGGATTTTCCTTCAGTTTTTGTAGAAGTTGCAGTCCCAACGGAGCCAATCGCTGAAGGATTTCAGTGCTGTTAACATGTATCAGGATATCAAGAAGCTGCGATCTTCGATCTAAGGGAATCTTCGATGCTTGATCCTGCTGCATCACCACATCGAAGAGCAATTTCTGAGCCTGCTGCAATTTTTTGCGTTGTTTCACTTGATGAGACACATCCGGATCTGGCGAGAGAAGAATGTAGAGATGCAGTGAAAGTTGGTCAGGATCCTGGGAGATCTCCGCGCTTCTTTCTGCCAATTTCTGAAGCAATACGAAAAACGGCTCCGCGCTAAAGCTAAAAGTCTGTGTTAGCTTTTTCAAAATATCCAATGCCACCGTTCTGCAATTATTATTACGTCTTGACAGTGAAAGTAATAAATTGGTTACAAAATCCAAATCTTGAAAAGCCCATTGGACGGATTTGCATTGATTTAGCAACAGCAAGGAAATCTGCAGACAATGATAGGACGTCTGCACACTGACGGGTTTCACGTAGAGCTGTGCGAGGAAACAGATGAGATCTTTCACCGTGGCAAAGTGCAGCTGAAAGAAGATTTGTAGACATCTGGAATAATGTTTCTGCCAATGATGATTATTCATGCCTTCGATGAAAATTTCTAGAAGTCGTAAAATCAGATTGCTTCGCTCTGTGTTGTCGTCGAAGTTGAGTTTCGACTCGGATTTGATGTTCAGCCGCCTGTGTACCATTTCAAGAACATAAGTGCCTACCTGAAGAGGCAGGATTCCCTCAGATGTGAGCTTCAATGCCATTTGAATGTTGTGGCCAGTGATGTTATTACAATCGCGCAGCAATTGAACACGTGAATACGTCTTGATCATCTCTGTGGCCATCTCGATAGCCTCCCGTGCAGTTTTAGCCGGCATTGAACCCACAGGTACTCGGCAGACCGAACCTAATAGGATCATGTTGAAGAATAGAGATGCCGCATCACCGTGCGATATTTGTTGTCGCATGGAATTCATTATGCTTTCCGTGGGTGGTAGCAGTTCATAGTTCAGGATATTGTGGAAAGCGGCGGAAGACACCGCTTCGGCGTTTACCAATTGGGATTTATTGATATCTTCTATTACGCGTTGCATATACCAATTGTTCTTAGCGAAATTGGAGTGAAGAACCTCCATAGCGATTTCTACGTCTTCATCTGTGGCCGGGAATAGATACGGTAAAGCTATGATGAAGACGCTTGTATCATCACTCTCTCCGCAAAGCTCTAAAAGTATCTTCAAAGCCGGTTTAGCTAATGGTTTTCTCGATTCCGTGTGACATGTCGATAGCAGAACCAACAATTCATCAACGAGGGTGCTTGTGGGTAATAGGCTAATCAATTTCTTCGTGGGAAAAGACAGTAGAGTTTTTACAACGTTAACGTTACTGTCGCAGAATCTAGCCTGAAGTGTACTCGTCATCATATCGCGAAAGCTCTCGGGCACACTCACATTGTTCTTGGCGAGTATTTCGAGAGCGGTCACTCGTTGCATGGCGTTGACGTGTGTCAATTTGTTCAGAATCTCGACAGATTCCTGCGTGTCCGTGGTACCGAAAGGCCATGAAATGAGAAAATGTAACGTCTGCTTAGAATTTTTGTCATTTTCGCTCTGTTTCATCAAATTTTTTAGATATCGATCAAAACTTTCCGGATAACTATGCTCAAAGTTCTGATAAAATTTCGCCAAGAAGTCTTTTGCAACCTTAGAAGTCTCAGTCTTGAGAAATTCGCACGTTGATACATTTGATAAAATAGCATCCACCGTATCATCATCGAGTCTAATTTGTATCAGTATGTGGCCAATCATATTCTGCACACTGGTGGTGCTTTCAGGATCTTCAGCGATAATTTGGCAGGCAGCTTGAAGAAAAAGCACAATAAATCGTGATGTGTTAACCAATTTATGAACTGCGACAATTGTCTCGGGAAACCAAGGCAGGTCAGACAATTGGAAAACCAGTTCTCGCGGTACAACAGTCAATCGATTAATTGGTGTTTGATAGAAATGAAACAGTAAGATGGTAGCTTCCTTCTTCAGATATGTCTTTTTGAAAGTATTAAGCAATAACTTCTCTATAGTATTAGCCTTGAATTTTACCTATAAATTTGTTGTAACACAAAAAAAAAAACAGAGTTAATGAATATTTCTATAAATTAAAAGATAAAAAAACATGCCTTTCTCTTCGCAAATATAATTTTTATAAAATAGTATGTAATTGTAATAGTATGTAATAGTAATCGTTTATAAAATAGTATAAATAGTAAAAAAAAACATAAGATGAAAATGTAAGATAAAAAATTATGTTTTTAAAACATATATACTGTAAAATCAAAATTATTTATTTAAAATATAATTAAGACAGAAGAAATTAAGTCACCTTCATTATCAATAACGAAATGATCATATAACTGCTTGCGGCAAAATTGTGAATGGGACTTTTCAAGCCGTCAAGAAGAGTCTGCAATAAGTGGTTCACTTGATTTTCAGTGACAGTAGACATTTGTTCGAGTACGCCTAATACTACAGTAGTATAACTAGCGTATAAGGTAGTCAGGCAAGATGCCTGATTAGAGTAAGTCTTTGTGCATTCTTGGACATGAGTGCATAATGTATTTAGGAGTCCATTGTCTGAGCACAAATGATTAACGAGAGTTGCAGAAGCTAGTGGCACTCCATGCTTCTGTAAAGGCGCTAACCAATGCCACTTGTCGGCTTCGTCTGATAAATCTATCAATTGCAGAGCTCTTAAAAATCAAAATCATAAAATTTTAATTAATTAAAATTAATGAGAATATGTATGAGAAAAATATTTTTATAAGTTAAAATTAAAATATTTTTAGTTTACATTATAAAATATAATTATTAAAGTGTAATATAATAATAAAAATTTAATAATTTCTATGTTTACATATAAATCATTTATATATATTCTGTGATATTCATAAAGTATATTGCCATTGTGTATAGTACTAATTTTTAAATCAACATTACGAATAAAAAATAGAGAGTTTTAAATCATACATACCTAACAAATATGCGAGTTTCATGATACGGCAGAATCAAAAGTATAAACTGATCTCGATTATATTGATGAATATGATATCTGAATATCAGCCATTCTAATGCCTTGTGACAGGCATTCAGTAAAAAATAAGGAGTTGCTAATAATAAAAATTTTGCAATATTTGCATCCAGTTTCTTGTTCACTTCAGCATCTGAAACAGCTCTTTCAAAGCTTACAGAGCTCTGAGCAAATAATGTCGTTTGAAAATCATTAAAAAGTACAGAACGTTTTATTAATTCTTGTAAACCACTCTGACCTAGAAACAAAGAAAGTATAGGAAATATTAGGAATAATAAGAACAAAATAATTCTACATAAATATTTCTTCTTTTATAATTTAGCAATAATTCAAATTTAAATTTTGAGCTTAAATCACTTAAATTGAGATATCCTCTTTAAATTTATAAATATAACTTATATTTGTTAAACAAATTTAACTATTAAAAAACGTGATTTACCAGATAGGTAAATAAAAGATACATACTATTTCTGTTATAAATTTTCATAAAAATATAAAAATTATATGATAAAATCTTTATACATGTTTATATTATATACACACACACACACACACACACACACACACACACGCGCGCACACCACAAGCAAAGAGAAAACTAACCAATACTCAATACAGTATCTCTGTCCAAATTCGCAGCTTCTTTCGGATCAAACAGCAAGCTGGGACGTTTCTTATCCTGCAGCAACAAATTCGTCTGCGGAGTTCTCAGTTTTTTAAGTTGCGCTGCTAATGACGTCGTCATTGTGAATCTATAAACAAGTTGCAATGATAAAATGTAACCTCAAATGTTAACCTGTAAAGTCTGTATCAGACTACTGATTGAATTAGAATTTCATGAGTGCGCGAGTAAAATTCACTAAACTTAAAATTGATTTTTTTTCTAACTAGTTCAATTTCAATTTAATCTCTCGACCCTAATCTTTAGTTTGATACGACTTTAAAGAGTGTGCTACAAAGGTATCGTATTACGAGGGTTAGGTATAGTACTTACGAAATTATCTTTCTCCTGTGACGGTCCCCCGCTCACACAACTAATACCTAGCAGAAACATACACGAAAAACCACCGTGGCCCGCATGGCGCAGTGGTAGCGCTCGAGACTCATACACCTGAGGACCTAGGTTCGAATCCCACCGCGGCCAACATCTTTTTTCCGTCACCAAAAATTCTTCATATCGTGGACAACGCTCCTCCAACACCAAGCCGCCACACTCCTATCACAACTAATTTACGAAAAGTTAATGTAACTTCTTCGTACAGCAGATAAAATTATATATATATATTACAAATTATATATATAATACAAGATTATATACGAGATATGCACATTATTTGTTTAGTAGCGATTAACAGATAACACGTGCGCAAAGATAGCCATTTAAAGCAGAGCTGCCAATTCTATAGGTGAGATTTCACGTATCACATCTAGATATTTCTCCTACTCCTATCAGTATAGTTGAAAACAGAGCGGGAAAATTCAAATATCAATATCTCGCCGCTAACGTCTTCTACATTTTCATGTAGCGTAAAATATCCAGATATTGGATTTAAAATACATATGGCTTGTGTAGCCTGGTGCTGAAATTATAAATATTATAAGAAAATATTGAATTAAATTTTTGTAAGATTTTAGCTTTCTTAACTCCTCGTGATTTTATAACAAATACGTTTAAAATTTCTACTTAGAAAACGTTCATAAAATACAAAATAAATAATCGATTTTAAGAACACAGAAATTAAGCAAGACATCAGCGCTCAATATTATTATTTATAATATTTAATTATTTATATTATTGGCTGCGTTCCAATATTCACTGCCAGTACTGAAAATATATATTTTATATCACGTATATTGTAGATTTTTAGTGCTGGCAGTGAATATCGGAACGCAGCCATTATATGTGTACTTAAATATTATAAATATTCTATTGTAATATTCTATTGTTGTCGATATGCCTACATTCGATAAATATATTAAAGTTTAAAGCCTATTCAAATAAATTTGTATAGATGCTATACACATATACGAAAAGTCAACCAATGCGTGTGGA